GGTTGTGCTTGTTTGAAACCAGAAAAAGAGCAGCTTCCCCAGCACTAATCCTGAGTATTGGCCTAGTGTGTGACTTTGGAAGGCTTGGCGTTGGCTATAAGAGCAGATTCCCTCTCCTTGTCCTAACAAACGCCCCTACGGTCGCTTAACCCAAAAGCCCTCTCTGAAATCACCCTCCTTGGTGTGGTCTGCATGACAAGCAGTGGGCTCAAGAAATGCCACCAGGCTGCCTGGTGTCACTGCCTGGTTCTGCATGAACAAAGAGCTGGGCACTATCTGGGAAGCTTCCAGCATGTGCTGAAAGACAGATAAATGGGTGGTGATGTCTCTTGAAGACCAGCTAACCCAGAGCTTCTCGCACTCTCATTCACTCTTTTTTTTCTAATTCAGGAAAGCTGGAGAGCTTTTAAGTACCGGGCAAGTGTACTGGCAGCAACGGGAAACACCAAATAGCCCAAACTTCTTGTCCAGCCCTGCAGCAGTGAGGACTAGCTCTCTTCCAGGGACGTATTAACGCCATGAGGTGCCAGGAAGAGGAGCTGGCAGCGTTCCCGCTTCACTCATCCCGGTGTGAGAGGAAAGCCTGCTGACAAGCGCAATGCTGAGCCTGTCTCTCGGCCCACAGAAAGCTGCGTCGGGTGAATGACGTACGGAAAAAACCAAAGCCGTCTGACTGCGGAGATCCCCTAGTTATCGCCCCCTCGTACTGACAAGCACCTGGCTTTCACCTTCCCAGAGGGTGATGCAGGCTGTCCTGCTTTCCTTGCGTAAGGGGCCAGCAGCTCTGCGTACTTTGCTCACTTTGAAGAGATCTTCTGCACTAGAACTGAGGACACAGGCAACCTGACAGACCAAGGCATTGCTTGCACCTTTGGCACTCTCCTCTCGCCCAGGCCAGGCTCAGACTTGCTACACAGGGAAAACTTCTGCACCATCACGCAAGCCAGGGTTTGCCCAGTAAGATCCTGGGGGAGAGAAGACCCTGGGATTGCTGAAGAGAAGGCTGCAGAGACCAGATAAGGCCTGCTTGTGTCGGGAAGGCCATGGGGGAAAGGAGCAGAGCCAATTAAACTCACCAGTCAATGGAGGAGAAGTAATGGGATTAAGATAGAGCCAGGGCGAAATCAGGTTAGATAGAAGGGAGCAGGCTATCATGAGCGGAGCAGACTGGGCCATCGACCGAGCTGCCAAAGGAATGGTCGTCACCGACACAGACACGGCGCAGAGCAGACACAAGTCTGCAGGGAGAGCAGGCGCCGGACTGCCGCTCAGCCTGGAGCTGCGGCGGGTGGGCGTCTGCGTGCCGGGGGCGATGGGACCGCTCCACCACGGACAGGCTGTGCGCCAGAACGGGGACCGACCGTCTTCGGGTGTCTGTGCTGATAAACCTGAGCTGCGAGGCGAATTAAATCAGCTGCCCTTTGCCCAGGGCACCAGGGTCCTTCACCAACACTTAGGATGAAATATATACACACACCCCGCTTCTGCTGGCTGAGTCTCGTGCTGGGGGTAGGAAGGCAGAGCCCTGTTGTCTGCCATGAACTTCCCTCCCCGGCTAGACATTCTGCCCTGCCACCACAGGCAGGGAGAAGGAGAGGGAGCACGACCCCAGTTTCAGTCTGTCCTCTTCAGCTCCACTGCTTCTCTGCCGAGCCACCAGGCAGCTCCTGTCCCTCCTGCCCAGTCCTGCTCCCCTCCCATGCCCAAGCATGCCATGCCCCTTTCCTGAGCCAAAGACAGGGCAGTGAGGTCTCCAGCCTGGCAAGAATGGAGTAGACTGGACCCCAGGGACAGCTCCACCAGGTGCAGTGGGGTAGGAGGGCCAAGAATATGAGGAAGGGATCTCCGAGGTATCCTGGTATGCAGCAGAGAGCCCTGGTGAGAGAGGTCCCACTTCTCCTCAGGGTGCTTTTGGGTCTGGCACAGCCACAGACCATGGCACTGGGACTACGTCTGGGACCTGGCTGCGGCTGGCACTATGTGCATGGGGAAGGCATTTGGCAGCAGGAAGACTCTGCATGGATGCTGCAGGCCAGAGCAACAGCCATGCCTCAGAAACACGTGTATCTACCTGGACAGGCCACCTCCAGAATAAGATTTCATGGGCGAAAATAGGGCCAGAGGAATGAACTGAGGCAATCATCTCATGAAGAGGCCTAGAAGGAGCCAAGGACAAGGTGCCTGAAAGCAGAACTCTGCTGCAGGTGCTAAAGGACTGAGGCACAGAGACCCTACTAATCTGTCCCTATTCTGAGGACTGTCTTTGCCCCAGGGAGCTAAAAGGCCTGCCAAACCTCTGATAAACCCATCTGTCCAAGGCACCTTGGAGGCTGGACATACAAAGACGAACCATCACAGCCTAATTTAAGCAATGTGTAGGAGATTTCAAAGAGAACATATTGGGAAGGACAAGCGGACCACATTCCTCACTAACGACCCATTGCAGCTCCACTGACTGAACATCTCCTGATTCACCGGGACATACAAGCGCACACCATTATCTCCCCAGAGTCACGAGGACCCTCAACATTGGCCTTGGTTTACATTAGGCCCTTGGAGAGAGAAGCACTAGCGCTCAGCAAGCCAAATGTCATCACTAAGCAACAAAATCCCAGGGCAGCCAAGGGGGCTGTAGCTGCTTTCACCCAGCCTGAATCTGTGCCGATAATGATGAGAACAAAATGCGGAGAAGGATGTGCCCGCAGCAGAAACCTCATGCTTCCCTGTTCTCAAAGGGACCCTCTCTTCTTTCAGCCAACATCTAGGTCTGGTAGTGATCGTAAGGGCGGATTACAAGACAGAATCATAACGGAGTGGGATTTTAAGGGCCCTTCTGTTCAGACTGCCGCTGTTTGCACTCTAGCACTTGAGATCCAGGAGGACGAGGGCAAGAGACAATGACCAGGACATACAAGGCACAAAGAGCAGTAGAACAGACCACTGTGGTGGCAAAGCCAAGCAGAGCCATACAATTCCCACAAGTGCTGACCACTTCAGGCTTGCCAGCAAGAGATGATTTTCAAAAGAGGACTGACGTGGTGGCAGGGTGCATTTGCAGCCTCCTCAAGACCTGGGAGGAAGCAGTACAGCAGCATGAGTGGAGAAACACACCCTCCATTAATAAGCTGGCAGAAGGAACATCAGCTGAGCTAAACATAATGCCTTACTGTCTGCTGTTACGTCTCGCTCTTCTGCGATGGATGCAGAGGCAGACATCAAGCTCGAATGCCCAGGTGCTAATGCACTTGCTCTTGTCACCCAAGGCCTGCTGTTCTCAGCCCTTGTTTGCCCCAGTGGATGTGGGAAGCGTGGTGAGGCTGAGGAGCAGTGCTGTCTGGAGAAATCGCTGGCTGATTTGGCATGCACTCCCCCAAAGAGCTGACTGAAAAGGAGACAGCTTCTCTGAGAACAGGGACACGAGAGCTCTGGGGATGTGTTGACAGAGGAGGAAAAGCTGGGTGCCTGCATGCTGCAGCCACTGCTGCAGCCTCAGGGACGTGAAGACTCCTTGCCCAACATCACCGAGATCCTTTCCAGCAGGACAGAAGAGGCAGCACAGAGCTCAGAGCAGGCCAATCTGCTCTGACAAGACCACAGCAGAGGAACCCAGGGGCTCACGGGCTACACAGAAGCCACCTCACTTCTCACAGCCTGGCACCTCTCTGCAAAAACCTCTGTAGTGCAAACCGCCTGGTTTTACGCAGGTTCCCCTCTAACGTATCCCCAGCTTCTGGTCCCAGAGCATCCCTCTCTGCAGACACCTCCCCGCCTCCCAGCTGTGGGTCCTGCACCCACAGCCGAGCCCCACAGAAGGGGAATCCCCAGCCCAGGTTCCCAATGCTCCAGCATGCTTTTGCACGTCTCCCTCCCAGCTCCTCTGAGCTCCCTGAGGCTGCCAGGAGCCTGCAGCTCGGAGTCTGCAGCCAGAGCCCAGCCTGATCTCATGCAAAAGTCACTCTTGCAGACATGCACCAACCTGCTGCTCCATTATCAATAGGTGAACTGCAGCTGAACCTACCAGAGCCTTCCTTGACGCTTGTCTGAACCGATTAGGACACACTTCAAAGCCAGGAAGGGACCCCAGCCACTTGACGTGCTGCCTATTACCACGATGCCTGTCCCAGTGCCGTCCTCTCCCCCTTCTCCAGCTCACCGGGGCCTCTCGTTTTTTCTTTCCAGCTGAGCCCTCCTCCAGCAAGAGGATCAGCAGCACCGCAGATCTCCGCTCCATCTGGGTTTGCACATCCATCCATTCCCCGGTGCTGCCTGCCTGCTGTGATCCCAAACCAACAGCCCTTTACCTAGGGGATGCCGACTGCCAGGGCCAGCGTGCCGAGGCTGGGACCCTCTGGAGGTGGTGCCATTCCCAGCAGTGAGAACAGAGTAACAGTCAGAGCATGGTCTAAAAAAAAAAGTGGGGAGGGTGGGGAACAGTCGAGGGGAAGGGGAAGAGCTGGACTCGTGGCTTTCAGCCTTTGCTCTAACCTGCCGCTCAGCTCCACGTGCCTGGACGCCCCAGACCTTGAGGCACAGGCAGTTACACGCTGCTCCCAAAGCGCCCGTTCCCCTCCACCCTGCGAGGGGTCTCGCTCCTTGTGGACAGCGGGGTGAGCAGAGGTGCAGCAGGGTGCTTTCTGGTGGCTGTTGGTTCCTCAGAGCACGAGCCAGCCCGGAGCCAGGGCCAGGAGCCAATGCACCCTCCTCCCTGTATCAGGCCTGTCTTTTTATCCCCCCCTTGGGATCTTGATGCCATGAATTGCAGTTTTGGGGTTGGTTTGGTTGGGTTGGGTTTTTTTTTGCATGTGGTGGTCGGTCTGGAGTTCTGTGCCATGTCAGGGGCAGCATCAGCACTCACCCCTCTGGGAGGTCAGAGCCACGGCGGGGGGGGGCTTCGCTGGCTGCCAGAGCGAGATGCCGTGTCCGCTTCAACCTGATGTCCTCCTGGGCCATCTCCCTCCTCTGCGCTCCTCTCCCCAAATCCTGCGCTGGCTCGGGCCAGGCAACGGACAACGAGATCTCACCGCGCTCCACCTTCACAGTGAGGTCTCCACGCAGGACCCGTTACGGTGGAGGTGACGGTGGTCGTGGTTGAGGCAGCCTTCATTGCGGTGCACAATGAGGATGGGGAAGTAGAGGGCATCCTGGTAAGGAGGGGGGTCTTCCTCCTCCACAGTCACCTGGCTGGAGAGGCGGGTCTGCTCGGTGGGACAGCTCTGCTCGTTCAGGCTCCCGCTGCAAAAGGGAGAAGATGGAGGACCTGTTTATAGTCCTGTGGCCCCGCTCACAGTTCTGCCGGTAGCCCCCGTACCGGCAAGCGGAGTAGCTGGTGCAGCTGGAGAGCCCCACCAAGTCCATCAGGACCGCTTCCGAGTAGCTGGGCACCAGCTGCTGGTTGGATCGGATGTGCCACTCCAGCTCGGTGCTGTCCACCGTGTTGACACGGGGCATCCTCCGGCAGAAGGAGCGCTCCTCGGCCGGCGTCACCGCCACGTAGTCGAACCCAAAGAGTTTCTCCACGTGGTAGTGGACGTAGGAGGTGCGGTACTCATTTAGCACCCGCAGGGGCCAGGATAGGGTCAGCAGAGCGGCCACCCAGAAGACATAGTGGGATACGTACCAAGGCAGGTTGTCTGGGTCGGAAAAGGCCACCATGTATTCCTTGAAGTCCACGTTTTTAAGGTGCATCCCCTCCCTAGCCTCCATGTAGTCATCTAGGCCCTCATTCTCCGTGAAGAAGCGGGCCCGCTGGGTCAGGTAGGAATTCTCTGACTCCACGTTGGCAAAGCTGAAACACTTGGTGAAGCGGAGCCGCGTGGCAGGGTAGCTCTCCAAGTCAATGAGGTCCTTGGAGATGTCCTTAACTCCACAGTTGGAATAATCAAACTCGGCCTCTGCCACGTGGGTGTTGACCCGCTCGTGATACACTTGGGTGGTGGTGTAGGCGTCCCCGTTGCGGTAGCGGGTAACCTGCCGGGTCCTGCGGACGTAGTGGTAGGTGATGGGCCTCCACCAGGGGTCGCCTGCTGCATCCGCTGCACGCGCTCGTGCACGCTCTCCACGTCCACTTTGTACTGCAGCTCGTTGCGGGTGTAGCAGTGCCAGCACTCCACCAGGTACACCACATAGAGCATCACCAGGAAGGCCAAGGGGATGTAGACATAGCCGTTGGAACAGGGGCTGTCGTGGTACATCATGGACTTGCCCTTGTAAGCGCTGTCAAAGGTCAGCCGGGTCACCTTGGTGACGTGGCACCAGGTCATGGCTCCCACGCAGCCGTACATGAGGAGGGACAGCAGCAGGCATTTCCAGTGGGACTCTCGGCACAGGGACTTGCTGAGAGACTGCTTCACCGGCCGCTGCTGCTCCGGGGGATCGGGAGAAGGGGAGAGAAAACAAGAGAGGAGTCAGTCGGCTGCAGCAGCAGGGGGAAGGGGAGTGGGCAGCAGGGTGCCATGGTGGCACCTGTAGGTCTGTGAACGGGGACAAAACGGCAGATGCCACAGTGCCCCACGCCTCCGCGGGCAGGCGGGAGGTCCTTCCCAGGATGACAGTCCCGCAGGGTGGGCAGCTGGCAGCCCCGCTCCC